TATAATTTTATATTACATATTATTTTTTTAACCATATTAAATGTGAAGTTTCTGACTTCCAATATAAATTTTATGATGTATGCTATGCTATCTCTTTAATGACTGAGATTTCCACAAACCAATTTAGCAGCTCACAGCAACAAAATTACTATATCAACAGCTATTTTATTTATTCATTGAAATAATATAACGCACCTGCACAAATTTGGAGCACATGACACATTTAAACGATAATGAGAATAAGAAGAAAGTCGAAAACAATGATAACTAAGAAAATATGGATAACTGACAAGATTCGATTCAGTAAGGGTCAGAGAGCGACAAGGCCATATCATACGCCCCCACCTTCGATGCTGTTCCTGAAAAGCTGGGAGCTCTTTAACGTGAAGCAGTTTTAGCATGAAAAAATCATATAAGCAAATCTTTTGGTAAGAAAATTTAGAATTTAAACTGAAGAGGTAATGAAGGAAGTGCTACGTCGAAGAAACTTGACCCTATTTCGATAAAACAGAGATTGGAAACGAGTTATACACCATCAATTGTATACGTGTTAAAACATAAAAATAAAGCGACAGTTATAAAAAAATCGAAATATTTTCCCGTAAAAGTTATTTGGAACATAAACAAACCTCGTGGTTATGACAGTAATCGTCTTCCAAATTTGGAGCTTCTAAACATTCCAGTCGAAGAAAAACAGATGATATTGGGTTATTAACTCGAATAGAAACATTAAGTAAAATGTAAGGCAACCTACAAAGTTTTGAGTGACGAGGAACAACAGAATAACCGAGTTTCTAAATCGTGGATTCCAAGATCCAAATTTCAAAAAGTTCTCAAGTGACTATAAAACAAACTTTATGGAAACAGTTTGACAGTTTTGGTTTTCCAAAAAGAACTTATGGCTTAAATGAAAATAAAACTATAAAAGTTACCAAAAATCATTAGAAGCTTGTCTCATATAAGAACAATCACTTAGAAAAAGTTCGATTTTTAAGAAGCGTGCCTGTGCAAAATTTTACAACACTTTGACAATAAAAATTATGGACTTACATGTTGGTTCCATTTGATAACACAGCAACGGACGAAAAAATCACAATCAAATCACGAGAGTCACAAAAAGGAGCTCGGGATGGTATCAACACAGATTCTGCCTCATCACATTTTTGCGTATCATTCTCGAATATATAGAGATTTTGTGGTAATATCCTAACCTCTTCTCGACATTCTGCAGTGACGTAGTCGACAAAAAATATGCAGCATATGTGAAATAATGCTGCCGAAAAATACTTGATACGGAAGGAAGTTTTTTTTTTTCATTGTTAATGTTTAACATATCCAAAATTTATTTGATTCAGTTTCGAACGCCTTATTTTGCGCTTTTAAAATAAATCTGCTACTGTTTTCTCCTCGTTTTAACACTTGTTCTTTTTCAAGTTTATCAGATTCTCTATCAAGCACAAAGATGATTTTCTTTCTTTTCAGTTTCTTCCTTCGATTCCACTTTTAGTGCATTTGATTCAGATGTTACAGGACGAGTTTTTAATTTGGCTTCTTCCAATTCTTCGAGATGGTATCGCGCGCGGATGAAAGTCTTCGGATGTATTGGTAGTACCCCCCAAAGTCCTAAATTTTTAAAACATAGAAGTCAAGATAAAAAATATGAAAGTTGAATTTCCAAAACAGGTACGTATTTTCCAAAACAGGTTGAATTTCCAAAACAGGTCATTGAAGAAAATGGTAACTAAAGGGAGAATGTACATTCATTACGGAATTAAAAATAGTACCTAAAATTTCCAAAAGAGATGGCGATATATGTGCGTTACGTTCTCCGATCCAATATTTCACACGAGTAATATCACATGCAACTAACTTCTCGTTCCGAAAGTTAGGCAGTGGGTCGAAAATGCCAAGCTTAAATTGACATTTGAATAAACTGACTATATTTATTTTTTGTGTTCAGTCAGATCATAGAAATTGCCGACAAGGGGTATGTTGATAATTCTATTAGAGTATTTACATTGATTGCAATGAAAATCTTGAGGAGGTAAAAAGATTGTTGTAGCAATGTCAGAGCGGTCAGTTTCTCTGTATCACCAACTTCATTTGGTATTGAATTCACGGAAAATTAGGATCGTTATTTTGTTTGAAAACAGTACCTGTCTGTACGAACACTGAAATCTCTGGTGTGTAAAAACTTCACTTCCAGCGTGAATATGAGTGATCAGCTTAAAAGAAAACAGTTAGTTACCTCTTCGATGATACTTCCCTCGTGATGTCGTCCGTATGCTTTGTTTGGAAATACAACGATCCGATAAGCAGGACGATTTTTACATCCAAATAGTGCCAAACCAATAGATGGTCTGCCGGCAGAGTATTTCAGTCTGGTAGCGGTCCTTAGCATCTCTTTAGCTTGCCAATCAATTACGGACAAGCAACGGTCTCCCTAGTTATACTTTTTACCTCATATTAATGCAGGACCCCAAGAAGTAACGCAATATACACCACAAATGCTAAAAATGAATCAAACACCAAAGCAGTAACTAACTCAAATTCTGTTTACGTGCGAATCTCAATGCGGTTCATCAACGAAAATTCCTGTCTCATATTGAAATAAGCAAATAGTAATCACCGAAGTTTACTGCGTTACATGATTGCAGATTACAGAAGGTCTTTTCCCTTGTTTCTGACTACAAATCTTTTGATTATTCTTTCAAAAGCCGAAAAGGCAGAACATTAATGCATGCCTTTGATATCGAAGAACCATTGAATAGGCAATTAATAAAAGGTGTGAATATCTCCGGTTCCGCCAGAAAATGATGGATGGTTTGCGTAACTCTTTTTGATACTCTGTGGATTGAGTAAGAAAAGAAGAGAAACAAAGTTAGGTTATAGCTTATTAGGTTATAGCATTACATAGTTTAGTTATGGTTCACAATTTATTGCATAGTTTAATATACTTCAAAGAGTTTTGCTTTGTGTTGCATTGTTTCGGATGTTTTCGAGCAGTAATCATTCACCGGACATCATTTCCATAAATTCTGAAAGCAAACTGTCCATAGATATTGAAAAAAAAAGGAATGAAATTAGGTAAAAGTTAAAAGTTGACCTTAATAATAGGTTGCAACAAAGCTAACAAATCATCGTTTGCTTCCATACTGTCTTATATCACTTTCAAAACAATACGAAATCCAGAAAATAATTTTCATATTTGAAAAACCTCTTCAAGTTTACCGAACAGTTAATATAATTTTAACGCACCATCCAAGTCGACAGTGCCTGAACCATCAGTGTCAATATCAGCAATCATTTCATCCAATTCTTCCTCGGAGACATTTTCATCCAACGCCCGTAAGATATCACGCAAATCTGATACCGCAATGTAACCATTTCCCTTAAGTTTAGAAATTGAAAAATAATAAAATAAAATTGAAGGATTTTTCTGAACTGTTGTTGATGCTTGTTTTGTTCCACAGAATAATGTCAGGCGCTGTCAAACAATGGTTTAGGATGTAAGTGTCAACAATGAAGATATTATGTCGTTGAACCGTTGATATCTTTTGCAAATGAAAAACGGAATATCAAATTAAAATTACGCGAAAGTGCTTTCTCTTGTAATTAGCCGGATTCAAGCAGAGAATATTAAAAAGTCCTAGTGGTTCTTGGTTCTTGGTGAACAAAGAAATCAATGTAATAGAAATACGGAGGTGAAAAGCAAGCAACACAATTGGGGAAGTGAATGTATGAGATGTTCATTAAGTTTCCGTTTCGCTTTCTTAATGCAACTTGGAATCGGAATGTTCTTATTACAACCAAGCAATATAATATCATGGATTATCGACTGCTTTCTTAACATAACTACCTCCTTGTCGTACAAGCGAAACGCCTCTCGCAATTCCTCCTCTAAACTAGCATTCTCATCTTCAACAACAAAACTAGCAACCATTGCTGCAAATTCTTCGAATTCAATCTCGCCCGATCCTGTAGAAATATATAAAATTATTCGCAAAATATTCCGGCTTTTGTTGACCGCTACTAATAATTACATAAATATATGTGAAATATTTTGAAATTCATTCAATATCGATTTGGAATTGATCAGTTTACAACACAATCCAAATCGAAGCACAATTGCACATTTCGAATAGAACCGGTTATCTATCCAGTCTTTTCGTTAACTCATCTGTTGACTCGGTTATTAATGATTTAATTTAGAAACAATGCTCATATTCAGGAAAACTAGACTAGATAAGAATATTATTCTAAGACTCTACAATCAAGAAGAATGGAAGCCGTACGTAGCTCAAAGTATGCAGAGTATGAAAAATTTTGAAAAATGATAACAATTCAAATTTTTGGAAGTATATTTTGCGATCTGAAAAGTTCTTTCATTTTATTTGTGAATGGTGCACCGTCAGTATCGAATTCTTTAATAAGCTGTTTCAAATCTCGCTCTTCAAATGCTTGGCCCATAGTCCTTAAAATCTGGCCAATCTGAGTTGCTTTTATAAAACCTTTGTTGTCTTTGTCGAACATGTTGAAGTATTTCCGGAATTCTAAATAAAATTAGTTTATGGAATATTGTGCTGGTTGTGCACAGCACTTGAGGAGGTAATAGAAGATTAGAATTTGTAATAGTTATCACCAGCATTGAGCACACCAAATTGAAAAAATTCAAGAGAAGCGGAAAATTTGCAGTCGCTAAGCCTGTTGATAGGAGGGAGATGCAATCAATAAATGAATTTAGGAGATGCACATTTGACTAATTTACTTCGTATGATGTCAATGATTTAATTAGGAATTATGATAATTTACATACGTTCAACCTGTTCCGGCGGAAGCTGACTAAGAGCATCTGTAACATCACCCGTTGCGTCCTGTAATGAAAATACGACAGATTGGCGTAACCGAACATTGTCCGGAATAAGCCATGAAATGTCAAATGTATCAGATATAAAAACTATCCTATAGTTGATTGCTGAAATTTGGTTCATTTACTCCTCGTAGCCTATTTTATCAACAAATTGCTCGAAAACAAAATTGTTTTGATTGTTAATTCTGCAGTTGATTAAAATTAACTAACCATTTACAAAAATAGTAACTCTGTAAATTAGTGAATTGGGAAGAAAGCGGATTTTATAACAAAATATTTCGTCGTCAGTTATGAGAGCAAAAGCGAAATGATGAGTGGCTAGAGAATAAAGAAAAGTTTTGCTGAAATTCTAAAACCGGATTTTTTTCTGTTTATTTTACAGCAGCATCATTTAGATCAACTCAGAATAGATATTTTCTACTTCACCAGCAAACTATCGCTCTCACCAGGATTTATTTCAAAATGTTATCCCTACAGCCTCTCCACCTTACAAAAACGATAAGCACCAGAACGCTCAACTTATCTAGTCCATATTTTTGAAATGACCGATTTAGATTTGAAATAGGATTATAAGATTTATGAGTTAGTGTAAAAACTGACCTCTATAGCATTAACACAGAATATTTCGAATAAGTCATATTTTATTAGTGTAGCAAAGATGTCCAGTTACTCACAGTAATTTCGGCGTCATCTAAACCATGTAACACTATTCGAACACTGTGCACGATCCGTTTTTGAAGGAACCATCATAATATCAAAAAAATATATAAAAAGTTGAAACGGAACTTCTTTAACTTCTCAGGTATCTCACACATATTATAATTAATTTACTCATCCCTGGACACCAACCTACAATCTTGGATACGTAAGGCCAGACACATATTAGGTCTTTGGTGGAAGATGATCTTATCCGTGCCATTATCATTGTCACAAAGCTACCATAATGAATCATCTATCTTTTATGTGGTAGCCATAGATTTCCTTCATGGTTAGTTTGTAAATAATTCGTTTGTCTATTTCATTAACTGATTTAAGAGAGGAATCATTAGCATTGATAAATTATAAATACAAAGGTACCGTTCTTCCATGCTGAAAATCTACAAATTACAATACAGAAATAGCGATCTTACAGAAAATGAAAGAAATGTAGTGGAATAATAACGAATCCAAAACAGAAAGCGTTGAAATCCAACTAATCTTGATAAAGAGATCAAGGGATAGAGTTCAGAAGATCAAAATACTAAATTGTTTGTCCGCTGTTTTATACTATCATCACTGAAGTTATTACTAAATTCGTGATAATTTAACAATAACATGATCAGATGATAATTAAAATGAATGATTAAACTGAAAAATAACTGATGGGACGATTGTCAAGAGAATCACAAAGATTTTTTACAAATTATGCAATAGACGCGTGTATTCGCCTTTAATTTTTATGTGTTAAACCAATTTTTTGCTGCATTTAATGTAAATATTTCCTGTAAAACAAAGACTTAAAACGACAGCCGTAATAAGGGCTGAAATACCTTTCGAGTATCTACACTTCAACACAATTGGAAATGCTGTAAATGTCCAAGAAAAATATTCGGAAATTTATTACAAATTATGAGAAGTGAGATTTTGTGGGAGGAGAGAAAATGGAGAGCAGAATGATCAAAAATATCTTGACCGAGAAATACTGACAGTTTTCAAATGCTAAAAATATTAATTTCCAATTTATTAAATTTAAGACGTTCAATCATTCTCTGCATCAAATGCTAATTTCCGCATCTTCGATATGCTTTGTTTGATGAAAACTCCCGTCGTATGTTAATCAATTGTGACGAAATTCGTAAGTTTCGTAAACATCCTTTGTATGCTGTTTTTATTGGAAAACTTCGTGGTAGTTTCTTTTTTCCCCCTGAAATTAACTTTTAATCGGAATTTTCTGGAAAAATACCCCATACTGATATGAATCAAACAATGGGAAGGAAGAAAAGAGGAAGTAATTTCCAACTTCAGTATATCATCGTCGAAATAATATTAACAAGTCTAAATATGCACAAATTTTCAAGTTTTGGACACTTCCTTAACTTTAAATTGAAAAATGAGTTACAGCCTTAGTATCTGCAGATGAAAGAAACTTACCAATCCAAATAATTCCATCAGTCGTTAGCTTCGCAGTAATAGATGGTGAAACATAAGTAACGTTTTCATTGTCCACAGTTAACAAAGACTTTTGACTCGTTCTGAAATTATTTAAATTATTGCGCCCAGTTACTTATGCATTTAAATGTTCTTAGTTTCACGAATGATCATAATAACGCTCTCTTGTTGCCAACTTTCAAACTTTATTTAAAATTCTCTTTACCATAGTAGTAAGTGATTGTTATGAAAATTTTTAAAAGCGGCAGAATCATACGCACTTTTTGCTTCTCTTTTTGAAAATAACATCCATTTGTTTTGATTTTAAGAAGGAACTCACAGGATAGGTCACTGTTACGCGATAAAAAAAGAGTAAAATTTTGAACTAAAAGTAAAAGTAAAAAACCGTAAAAGTGCAATGCTGTGCCATCGATTATCATTCACAATTGTATTTGATCTAATTACTTTAACTTTTGGATTACTGCCCAAATTTATAGCAAAACCAAGTCGTCCGGCGAGGAGAAATATTGCCAAATAGTTAGAACGGATCGTATGTCTCTTACTTTCCCACCAGATTAAACCTTCTGATTTGTTAGTTTTAACCATAAACTGATAGTCTGTCAATAATTCCGACTGCTTTCTGAAAAGGAGAAAGGAAAAACGTTAGTGTAAGCTTTAAACGTTGTATCGGGAAATTACGGAAACAGATTCCTTTCTAAAATACGGAGTATTGCGATCTTTCGCTATTCCAAAGAAATATGGAGCATTAAAAAATAATTTTGTCAACCGCTTTTCAACTTGAATTATTTTATTTTGCTAATATGTCATATACTCAGTCATATGTGAAAAAGTCAAATTTATAATCAACTAATCTCGTATCACACTTGGTAGCGAATACTACGATTAGAGTATGTTCCTGATGGTTGATTACGGAGTCATGTTTTAAGGATAGAGAAGACGGTTGTAATAATTCAATGAAGCTAGTGTTATTTTTGTCTTTGTGTAACATCAAATAATGACTAAGTATACTTTGAAATCACTCTTTTTACCAATGCATACTCATTTCGCCCATCAAACAAAAGGCTATCGTTTGGATCTGCGTCTGTTTCTTCACCTAAAAACAGTAATGAATTTCATTTGAAAACAAAAAACATTTCAGAAATTAAAACACTGGAAATGGGACTTTGATACAAGAATTGACCAGTAAGTCTGCTGGTAAGTAATCACTCATTGCAGGCAAGTTATTTTAGGAAGATGACTTGGACTTAAACTTTCTTTAAACTCTCTGAATAACTTGGACTTAAACTACCTTTGTGAAAATTATCTTCATAACCTTCGTAAAAGTTTCACTCCCTTCTCTCTTCGTTCCTAATAACCGGTAAAATTCAAAGGTCTAGAATAAGGGTGGGCATTAATTTTCCCGGTGGCCATATAAAAAACTGGAATGGTTTTTAAGAACCAGACCGATATACTTATTTCAGTTCTACCCAATACCATACCCGTATATGTATATATACTATCCCTTTATAAAAAACAATAAATGAAGCACTGTAATGGATTAATGAAATGTTGAAGTTGTGATGAAAGATTAACGGATTTTAACATTGAAAAGTTTTGATTTAAGGTTAGCCTGGCATGTCTATTTATGGTATGACAAAAGGTAAGTAGATAAAAAGTTAGG